GACCCAAAATTATGCAAATAAACCTAAAAGTAAACCAGTGGTAGTGTTTTACTTTTTGCCCCCTCTTTCCTATAATAAGCTATATATGCACTGTATAAGCTTGTATACGTACAATTCTGAATTGGTCAGAACTTTTTTATTTATGAAGATAATTCAATTCTGTAAAAAGATTAAGGAACGTTGACCAAAACCAAGCCTGAAAAACAAAAATTACACAGAATAAGGGTCAAATTTATTACGTCACATNTACTTCGCACATAATTCAGCCTGTTTCTACTTCAAAAACCACAGTACTTCTTAAATTAATGACAATTGCAGAAATAGAAATAACATGGAACCAAATGTTTTCAAGAATGAATCTTAAAAGACCATATATCCATTAGGTAGTGTGTTAAAGTTACAAGCATTACATAACTCATTAAGGTTTATGATCCCTAAACCCCAGAAACCAAAATCAGTCCACATAGTAAATAGAAATAAATGATTTCTCTGTGTATTCATTCTGTCTTCAATATATCATTCTGCTGATATTTTCACCTCCCTCAAGTCTCAAAATAATATATATTTAGCAAAAATGAGAAATTCACTCATTTCCATTCAAAACTCTCAATATGAAAGGCGACAGAAAACGAAAAAGTTCACATTTTTTACCTGGTTATGTAAAGAAAGTTAGTGAGGTGACACAAACTGACTACGACTATGATCTTCCATCTACCTCTGCAGTATATGAAGACCAAGAATTGAGCTATGTGAATATTGAACTAGACTCTCCAGGTAGTCACAGGGTTTTACGACCAAGGCCTGAAAAAAAAGAAAGCAGTTTTGATCAAAATGAAATCTCAGGCAACAGGATAATCAATGTGGAAAAAATGGTAGAAATGTGGAACATAGCCATTCAGACTCATGCAGACGAAGAGGCCGAGGTGTGTGCAGTACCACAATTTAAGATCAACACAGAAGAAAAATGGGGAATTGGATGGAAATATTCACTGAAATGCCTCAATTGTG